TAAATAAGTATATTATATATAGAGTTTTCATTCATTTAAAAAAATTCTCTCATTAAAAAATATACCACCAACTAATTAGCCTCTTGTAATAGAGGGGTAAACCAATAACAGAAAAGGTTAATGGTCATATGATAAAAGTCACTGTATTCTGTGGTGCTTTGGAAAACTAGCAAGGAAGTTATCAACTAATTAAATTGCTGAAAGTTTAAGTGATAAAATTTAGCTGCTAAAAAGATAATTCAAGTTTAATGAGCATATGAATGACTAAGTTCTGGATTTTAGCAGGCTCCCGTAGAGCTCACTCAGCAATTCTAATTTATGCAACAGTCAAGAAGAAATACAGCTCGGATGCAGAGGTTGATTTTAAATTCGGTTTTTCTACTACCTTACTGCCTGGGAAGCAACCCACACAACAGGCCTTGACTTGCTGTGCCAGGAATATGGATAAGGAAAATAAATAAGCTCTATCCTCTCTTAAGTTGTGTTGTTGCTTTGGCAATTTCCAAATTTGGTGTGGCAGCAATGAACTGATTAGTAGAACATGATACAGGCAGTCAGAAGAGAGACTCAGAATGCAGAGTTGTAAAAGAATATTATTTATTAGAAAGAATAACAAAGTACTTTATATATACATACATGTTATTTAACATTTATTATCTGGGCTACTACACATTCTAGTAATGAATTTATTCCGGAGCCTAAAATACCAAACTTAGATATTTGAGAATTCTTGCTCACAACTTCCAAGCTTTTTAAAAGATTGAAATTTAGTAGATAAAGGACTACTGAAAAATACTGGAAAAATATGAAATTTAGGTAGCACTGGTGACCATGAGCATTTTAAAATATCTTTTCTGGAGAAACAGAGATTTAGTCAAGCACTGAAAATACATTTTTATCAAGGTGAAGCAATTGAGAAACACAAATTTTCAGGTATAAAAACAGTCACAGGGATATAAAATACAGTATAGAGAATATAGGCAATAATATTGTAATAACTGTGCATAGTGCCAGATGAGTGATCACTTCATAAGTATGTAAATGTCTTATCACTATTTTGTACACCTGAAACTAATACGATATTATATATCAACAGTAATTGGAAAATTTTCAAAAGAGAATACATTTTCTCTTAAAAGTGGAAGTGTATAATAGCAATACTGTAACAGCAATATTCTTCCATCGAAGGTGAATAAACTTTATGACAACATATAAATTTATCCACTCTCTTTATACACAACAACAAACTGAGTTTTCTCAGTCCTACAAATGTCAAACTGAGTTTTTCTGAGTCCTACAACTCTAAAGTACAACAAACTCTTGGTCTTTTTTGTTAATGCACAATAGGGAGAGCATGAATACATGAAGTTAACTTATTCATTTGACAGGTATTTTGAGCACATATTATATGAGGTCTGTCCAGAAGGTATCCAGCCATGTACTATAGAAAAAATAGAGACATTTATTGAAGAACATACAAGATACAAGAAACATTGTACATAGGACGATGATGCCTCAGTCTCTTTCAAAGTAGGCACCTTGGGACCTCACACAGTTCTCCAAACACCGTCAGCTGCCCCATCATAATTTCCTGAATCTCATAGATGGTCTGAAATCTCTTTCCTTTCAAGGTGACTGTAGTTTTGGGAAAAGTCAAAAGTCACTGGGTGCCAAACCTGGGCTGTAGGGGAGCTGAGTCACCTGGGTGATTTGATGTTTCCACAAAAATTCCTGCACCAGACAGGATGCATGAGAGTATGTTGTGATGAAGCTGCCAATCACCAGGTGTCCCTAGCAGTGGCCTTCGGAGTCATCTGTATAGTTTCTGCGGATGTTCAAGCTTAATGCAAAATCTGATGCAGATTCATTGCTGTACTCACTCATTTTGAATGCAATGACCACACAGTATACATGCTCAGTCAACAGTGTCTACTGTCCCCACTGACTAGTACAGTGAAGTCAATATTGTTCATTCATGTGCATTCCAGTCCTCTTTCCTTGGCTGCCAGGTTACATCCATGTCATACAAACCATCCTCATTATATCAACAACGTTATATTAAAAATGGCTGGATTTTTTTCCAACAGACTTCATATGCCAGGCATTGTGTTAGGCAGTGCAATTATTAATGAGATAGTCACATCTTCTGCCCTTGTGAAGCCTGTTGTCTAATAGAAGCAGCTGACACAAAGCTATTGTAATATAGGATGACAAATACTGATAGGGAGACGTACAGGGTTCTCTGATACTACACAAGGTACAAAAACTGGATCTAAAAGCGTTTGGAGAAATTTTCCAGGGGACATGTCTATGCTGAGGCATTAAAGTTGTGCACCTGTTGGTGGGGAGGGGTTAAAAAAGATAAAGCATGCACAGAATTTTGAAAGTCAGAAAGCATTTCTCTCTCATGGAACTGAAAAAATATATTAGTGTGGCTGAGTCTTGGGAAAGGAGGGTGGTAGTATAGGGAGATGTAGTATGCAAGAACCAGTTCATGAAGAGCCCTGCAAAACATACTAAGGCGTAAGGACTTTATCATATGGCAACAGGAATCCATCACAAAGGTTTGGGCCAAGGAGATAAAAGTTATGTTTTAGAAAGATTATTGACTCAAAAGTGGGAAAATGAAAGCAAAGAGACCAATTAGAATTCTGACAGAGCAGTCTAGGTGAGATGGCGATGATGACATAAAGTTAGCAATACAGGGAAAGTTAAGAAGTAGAAAGATTACCATTTTAAGAAGTAAAGTGTTTAGGAAATAGGAAGGGCTTGGTGATTGGTTATATGTGGGCACGGTAGGAGATTGTGTCATTTGCTGAGAGAAACAGAGGAAGAAGAAAGGGTTTGGGAGGATAGTTTCTTTTTTAAACATACTGAATTTGAGGGACTAATGTTACTGTAAACAGTCAGTTTGAGTGCTAGGGAGTTTCGCTCATTGGTCAAGATGATGGTAGGGGAAGGTTTTTATACCGAACTTGCCAAAAGCTAGAATGATGAATGGATAGAGCCCCAAGCATGCCAAAAGCTAGCAAGATAATTGGATAGAAAAAAAAAAAGAGCCCTTCCCTCCCTATCTCTGGAAGAATGGCAGGCTGGGGCCGGAAGAGGAGATGGTCTTTGAGACAGGAGTCCACCACAGTCCCAGGTTGCATAGCACCTGAATAAAACCTTTTTCCTTTTGTACCAGTACCTGCCTTATGAATTAGGCTTCTGTTGTGGCAGGCAGCCAAAACTCTGTTTCATTCTGTTACACTAAGGGATAAGAAAGTACAAATGCTGGGCAAACTATTGAATGTTTAAGTCTGATGCTGTGAAATGGAGGTGCAGGCTGGAGAACTGTTAGTGTGACATGCTAACTAAAGCCATGGGAGTGGTGACATTGTCCAAGGCAATGTGTAGAGTGATGAGAGAATGGCTGTTGGAAGAGACTTTAAGGAACACCAAAATTAAGGAGAAAAATAAGAGCTCCAAGTCCAGCAATAATTCTGAATCCATAATTTGTACATTAGTTTTATTTTCCTTGGCCAAGTCTGTTACTAGAAGTACTAGCAGGTCTGAAAGTCTTAGTTCATTTTTCTTTTCTTTTACCTTGTAAAGCCACAAGTTTGTAATAAAAAACTTTTAAAATACCTGAAATCAATGAACAATGGAAAAAAAACCTGTTAAAATGTAACCCACAAGTCAAAAGAAACAGCCCTCAGTTGCTCAGTCCCTAACTTTGGCTATGCTGAGCTTTCTACTTTACAATAATTTTTTACTCATGGTGTAATTTGCTCTCCAACAGTTCTGTTTATTTCCAATTGTCTAGATAGCTTTTAATGGACTTGCAGCTCAGAGACAGCCTGCAGAGATTTTTCTGATCATAACATGTGATAGGGATATGTCAGTTAGGATGTGACCATGGTCCATCATTTCCACATGGAAAAGTACATGTGGAAAAGTACAGTTCCAGATACAGTTTTGGATGGATGGTTGGGAATTTGCCCCAGTAATACTTCATTTAGGTCTGGGGGAGTAGAAACAGGAATGTGGCCTCTAGAGGGTTAATCATTGGTGTGCTGATATATGTAACAATTGGCTTGCAAGAAAAAAGGAGCCCTGATTTAATGTGTTTGCCAATTTTTTGTAGTGTAAACACCATCTCCACCACTGATGGTTGCAAGCTATCAACTCGATGTCACTGAAGACAGAGCAGAGAAAAAAGTACAGTTGGCTTCTGCAAGCCAGTGCAAGCTGGCCCAGCACACTGCTTGGTCAAGAATGATCTGATCTGCCTGGTGGCCAGGAATGGGAAATTACCTTTTATGTGACAGTTTAAGGTATGAGAAGAATAAATTCTATAAATACTGAGCTTTTTCTTTAATGAAAATTGACTTATTTACCTATATTAATTTTATTTGTAGATGTTAAGCTTTGCCTTTAAACTGAAGGCTGGTGGTATGAGTAATGTATCATTGATCTAATAACTTAGCATTTGTTAAATTACCTATCTTTTTTGGTAAGAGGTAAGTTTCTAAAACTGGTTTGTATCTAAAATTGAAATGACTGAGAATCATTTTAAGGCTAATTCCTTATACCATGAACCACTCCCCCCCGAAAAAAGAGACCAGTTTCTTTTCATTTTGGGATATTAGTATACTTTGCATTCTACTATATTCTTTTTTTAAAAGATTTCAATTTATTTATTTTTAGACAGAGGAGAAGGGATGGAGAAATAGAGGTAGAGAAATAACAGTGTGTGGCTGCCTCTTGAGTGCCCCCTACTGGGGACCTGGCCTGCAACCCAAGCATGTGCCTTGACTGGTAATTGCACCAGCAACCCCTTGGTTTGTAGGCTGGTGCTCAGTCCACTGAGCCATACCAGCCAGGGCCTAATATATTCTATAAAAGAAAATATTTTATATTCATTAAATAAACAGAGTTTGTTTTTTCCCTATCAAACAATTTGATGGTATACTGCTCTAACCAATAATATATGCAGAAAGAATAGCAGCAAAATATCTCATTTCTTTATATAATTTAATATATACACTATTAATATAATATGCAGATACACAGTATTGTTAGTACTAAATAATTACTATTAAAACATCAGGCATGGGTAGAACGAGAGTTGCTTTTGTGCATACTACATCTTTTTCACATTCCAAAGGGAAATTAAAATTCCTGATAGCACAGAAATGAATGCACTTTTTAATATTTAATGCAGATATAAATATCTCATGGCTTCTATTAAAAACTTCAAAATTCTACTGTGCGCAAGTGAGGACATCATTTTCAAATAACTTCCACATATGCTGAGTTTGTAAAAGTGACCATAAAAACACTGCAAGCTCACTGAGAACACAACGACAAAGTACAAAATCCTTTCTTGAAAGTCAGACTTTAAAAAGTCTGTATTTATACAAATGCACAATGCATTTTAGTGCCCTATGACTGGTATTTTTGATCAGGATTATCTAATTTTAGAAATCTAACTTGAACATTTTCCATTAATTTTCTGCTTCAGAATGGAAGACATTGAGAACTTGAAGAATAAATTTTTAAAACAGGATTGGGTAAAAACTTCACAAAGTGGAATAGTAAACATTTTACATACTTTAGTTATTGCCCTGCCAAAGATAAAAATGCCCCAAATGTCCCATTTTTGTCTTATTTAACATAAATTTTTAGATAATTATCTTAACTACTACCTCTCCTTTGCATATATAGAAACTCTTTGAGACAAAAGTGTAAAAATTTTAGGTTCTCTAACAAAATCTAAAGTATCACTAAGCCATTTTCCGTTTTCAAAGTGTATTTAAAGAAATGTTTATTTCAATATAAACCCCCAAAGCACCAAATTAAAACACATTAGTAACTTCATTTTGGCCTCAGAAAAATATTATTACAGTTGGCTAAATCCAAGTTCAAGCATTTGGTTTTTATTCTATAATACTTTAATTTCTAATACAGACATCAAAGAAAATGAGCTGATGTTTTTCCCTCAAAAGAATAGTTAAGTGTTTCAGCCATAATACAAATCGATTTTCTGGGGAAAAAAGATAAATCCATTCCAAGATAAATCAACTTTTAAAGTCTTAAAATAACTGCTATAAAAGAACTATAAAATATAAATTTTTGAAAAAAAATACATGGAAAATGTCTCTCTAGGAAAAAAATATGCAACTTGTTAGATACAAGAAAATACAGCATTATCCTGGGGTACAAACAACTATGAATCTGGCTTATGAGACTTTAAAAATTCACAAAAAGTAATTAGCACCAAAATTATATAAAACTTCAAATGATATACTGAAGTGATTCCAGGCCCAAGTGTTTCATTATAAAAGAGTTATATTTAACTTGGGAAGTTTCCCAAGCAATAATAAATGTATTATTTTCAATCTTTAGAAGATGTGTTAGTTTTACTGATTTTCATCAAAATATAAGGTAGTGTATAATAATTATCATTCACATTGGTTTGGGCTGAGCAGGGACAATAGAAATCCAAATCTTTTCCCAAATAATATGGGATTATTTGGTGGTGGTGGGTGGGGAGAAATTCCCCAAGCAAAACATTTTTAGCTCATTGGTTCATTGTGTTTCTTTTAAAATATCTTACTCTATAAGACCTATCTTGCTCAGTTTGAACACCATATCCTGTTACTGTCCCTGCTCACTTGGTGGTGTTATTTAAGATTTGGCATTGGAATAGTGTTATTTAAAAGTGGGCACAGATTATATTAAAACGAGTTTTAAATAAGCTACAAGATGGATATTGAACCCTGTTATAATCAGGAGTTGAATTTTATTTTAAACAACATCCACTTATAATTATATTACAAAACAGCACACTATTTGAAACAAGGCAAACTTTTTGGCTTTCATGTAGTAAAATATATAACTTTACTAATTATGTGTATGGCTACCAAATGTTGATCAACAGCTCCCTCAGCCATATTTTAATGTTGTACATAAATAATGACAAGGCAAAGAACAGCAACTAGTCCGAGGGCTTGTAGGCCAAGGAACCACAGCATAACCCAAAAGAAGATGACCACCACTGGTTCCACAATTCGCTCTCCAAAATACATCCTAGTAAAGCCCATGTTGATGAGGCTTTTGTTCAGTTCACCAAAAAGTGTTCCCATCTTTTTGTAGTCGTCTCCAATGGGATCGCCAGCGTGGTTCTGTGATTCTTCGCAATCCTTTAAAGACAGACAAAACAAAACATAAACATAAACATAAAGTGAGAAATAGGTGAAGGTCTTTAAGAATAAAGAATATCTCATAACTCTTCATCTTCCAAAGTACTGGACATACTTCTCATAATCATTCAATAAATACTTGGGAATATTCCTTTTGACTGACATAGAACAACTATCTGTGCATATCTTTTAAGAATATGGAAAGCACTGATATCTTTTCTGTGGAAATCAACATTGACTGGACCCTCAACTGCCAGAATACTGATTTACAAGATGAAGGAAGGAGCTGATTCATTTCCATTCACTCTCTAGTTTCCTGGAATCACACAAAGACAGCTTAGCTGCTTGCATGAAGAATCGAGTTTATGAATATTGCTCTTATCAGTGGCCATGATTTCAATAACATTTCCCCACCAATTTCCTGTTTTGAGGCATGACCCTGAATTTGTAAGTAAACTTTTTAGGGCATTTCTTTGATCCCAAGACTTTAAGGAATCTAGCCTCAGCTGACTGGAGCACATCTTGCTGCTACTATTGAGCGATTAAGCGATCCTCGGTCATTACTGCTATCTCAGCCTTAGCCCCAGATAGAGAGATGTCAGTGTAGGCCCTAGCAAAGTTTCCTGTCTAAATTTTACAAATGTCTTAAAATGCCTCTTATTAATCTCATTGGGGGATATAGTTTACAAATAGAAATAATTTTGTACAATAAGCCAAACAGTCCACCTAGATGTCAGTGCTCCAGAAAATGTCCATGTGTATCCAATTATACATGACAAGAGAAAAATTCTGAGATGCTCCCCAATTATCCAGCTGCTCATGTCAGTACTTGCAGACTTAGGACTCACTTTCACATTATGTAATGAATAATGATTCTTCAATTGTTTAAATCACCCAGAGCTAGCAGTAAATTCAACAGTGTAATAGGGTCCAGCCTTTTCTGTCAACATCACAAACTTTTTGCTTTGGCTGTCATCGTCATGGTACTTGAGAGGGACACCTTCTGTGTCTGCTTTCACTCCATGTCACTACAAGTTTCTCTCTGTCTGACATAGGTTCTCCTTGACTTTTTGTTAGTCTCCTTATGTTCAGTGAAGCAGATACTTTAATAGCTTACACCCCTTTGTTTTTGTTAAGATTGCAGCTATGGTGACATGAGACATGCCTGACTGACAGACAGTAACCATCATTGATTTTCCACCCTCATAGTCCTTAATCACTTTTTATTTCATTTTCAGGTCAATCACTGGACACCAACTCTTACTGGCAACATCAGCAAGTAGATATTGCATGCTTAGGAACAAAACAACATGGGATTATATCAAGCACAAGAGAAAATGATGCAAGCAAGAGATACAGTAAACATAAGATGTATGAGTTGCTGCTGGTATAACATGGCACACTATTTTTTATAAGTATAAAGAATACACTCTAAATGATAAAAAGTACAGTGTAGTAAATACATAAACCAGTAACATAATCCTTTATCATTATCAAGTGTTATATATTGTACATAATAGTAAGTGCTATACTTTTTTAATACAACTGACAGCGGAGTGTTTTTACACTGACATCATCACAAACACGTGAGTAATGTATTACACTACATTATGGTGGTGATGACAAGTTAGGCACTAGGAATTTTTCGGTTCCATTATAATCTTACGATACCACTGCGTGTATGTGGTCCATCACTGACTGAGATGTTGATATGCAGTGCATGATTGTAGAAGTGGTCCAATGATCATACACAGGTAGCCTTTATAAATATAAATTTTTTACTGAATTATGGAGAGACAAACATTTAGAGGAAGAACAATGATAGAAATGCATTTTAGTCAGTTTCAGAGAACTTTTAGAACAGTCCTTCTCCCCCAAAATACTAGAACTCAATCCACTCTACCATCTCACTCAACCTCTCAAAAGACAGACATTTCTTAAAAAAGATCTTATTACCTTCTTTAAAAAAACATTTTGTTTATTTTTACGGAGAGAGGAATGGATGGATAAAGACAGGGAGAGAAACACTGATCAGTTGTCTCTTGCATGTCCCCAACCAGGGACCTGTTATGCAACGCAGGCACATCCTCTGCCTGGGAATTGAACTGGTGACTTCAGTTTGCAGGATGACAACCAACCCACTGGGCCACACCAGTCAAGACCTTTTACTTTCATTTAAAAGGGCAGGCGCCTCACATATGCAAAAAACCTACATTGATGTTTATCACATCATTCTTTGATAAATAAACACATGAAAATAGATAGTAAAAAGCAGTAGTATACATTTTAAAAACCTTTGGCTAGTTATATATTTAGCCCTCTAGGCCTTTATTTTTTCTTTGCCATGTAGAACCAACAATCTACCATTTCAACTATGAATTCATAGCCACATTCTTCTGTACTCCCTGATTTTTGCTGGACTCTGATTTCCCTGTCTCTCCTCCTAGACTAAGAATTGTGTTCAGATCTGTTACCTTGGTGTTCTTGGTACTCCTTCCATATTCTGAAATCTTTTCAGTCACCTCTTGATAACTGTCCATCCAATTCCTCATATTTATTGTTCCAAATCTTTCCCACTGTTCTATCTTCTCCCTCTTAGAGGTACTTCCATTTTCTTTTAAGGGTAACCAATTTCATAATCCCAGATGATCCCATCCATACACCTAAGTATGAAAATGGATTTTATACTGTAATACACCTTTTTATTCCTAAAACAAAAGAAACAAAATAGAAATCCTGATTACAACTGGAACACTTGTCTGTTAGGCCAGTCACATTTCCTCTTCAGACAAAACAGCAAAGTTATTACAAAAATCAGAGGCATTAGTCAGAATCTGAAGCACTAACTAGATGAGGACTGATTCCTAAAAGCACTGGATCTATCACTGATGCTGCTGTTATGGCTGTTTGACCATACAAAATCTATTGAAAGAATCACCAACATATATGACTTTGTAAATACCTTTCAAGTCTAATTTTAGAACAGGAGTTTTAACATCTAGGCCAGTGATTTTCAACCGGTGTGCTGCAAGAATTTTTAAAACATGCAACACCACACTAGTTGAAAATCTCTGCTCTAGACCAAGGAGTATTTGTATAGCTTTATGACAGTCTGAAAATTCTACTTGCTTATTCTATTATATATCTTTTCCACATTACATTTGAAGACTTAAAGATTAATATGACTTGTATGTTTAATAGAACTCTGCAAATATATGAGCCATCCTTGTTAGAGTTATATCGTCTTTAAAATTAATTTTTCTGTCATTAATTTCTCACTCAGATCTATAATGGGATTTTGCCTCAAAGCAAAGTTAACAGTACTTAGGAATCTGACAATTTTTCAAACAGTTATACAAAGGCCACTCATATAACAATGTTTAGGAGTTGTTTATTTGTTCTATACAATAACACCTTCTTATTTTACACACTGCAGTTTTTGTCAAATCCAGTGATTGGCTGATTTTTTTTCTTTGCAGTTATGAAATAACCATTGTGGTGCAATTCTTATTAAATAAAATGCCTATTAAATTATCAATCAACCATTTGTACAAAGTGAGAAAAACGTTTAATTGGTTTTTATAAAATTGTTTTATTGTTGTTCAAGTACAGTTGTCTACATTTCCAACCCCCTCCCCCCACCCCAGCCATCCCCACTTCCCTCCCGATTCCACCCTTTCTTTGGTTTTGTCCATGTGTCCTTTATAGTTGTTCCTGAAAACCTTTCCCCCCTTCCCCCCATCATATCCTCCCATTTCCCCTCTGGTTACTTTCAGTTTGTTCCTAATTTCCATGTCTCTGGTTCTATTTTGCTTGCTTGTGTGTTTTGTTGATTAGGTTCCACTAATAGATGAGATCATATGGCCTAGTTTATTTCACTTAGCATAATGGTCTCCAGTGCCATCCATGCTGTCACGAAAGGTAGGAGCTCCTTCTTTCTTTCTGCTGCATAGAATTCCATTGTGTAAATGTGCCATAGTTTTTTGATCTATTCATTTACTGATGGGCACTTAGGTTGCTTCCAGCACTTGGCTATTGTAAATTGTGCTGCTATGAACATAGGTGTGCATAGGTTCTTTTGGATTGGTGTTTCAGGGTTCTTAGGGTTTAATCCCAGCAGTGGAATTGCCAGGTCAAAAGGCAGTTCCATTTTTAGTTTTCTGAGGAAATTCCATACTGTTTTCCACAGTGGCTGCACCAGTCTGCATTCCCACCAACAGTTCACTAGGGTTTCCCTTTCTCCACATCCTCTCCAACACTTGTTTGTTGATTGGTTTATGATGGCCATTCTAAGTGGTGTGAAGTGGTGTCTCATTGTGATTTTGATTTGCATCTCTCTGATGGCTAGTCATGCTGAGCATCTTTTCATATGTCTCTGGGCCCTCTGTATGTCCTCCTTGGAGAAGTGTCTGTTCAAGTCTTTTGCCCATTTTTTAATTGGGTTTTTTGTCTTCCTGGAGTGGAGTCATGTGAGTTCTTTGTATATTTTGGAGATCAAACCCTTGTCTGAGGTATCATTGGCAAATATGTTTTCCCACATAGTTGGTTCCTTTTTCCTAAAGAAAATGTTGTTTTCTTTAGCCATGCAGAAACTTTTTAATTTGATGAGGTCCCACTTGTTTATTCTTTCCTTTATGTCCCTTTCTCTAGGGGATATATTTTTGAAAATATTGTGTGTGGAATGTCTGAGATTTTCCTGCCTATGTTTTCCTCTAGGACTTTTATGGTATCACGACTTATTTTTAAGTTTTTTATCCACCTTGAATTTATTTTTGTATATGGTGTGATTAATTGGTTTTCATTATTTATGGCACTTAAGAATCTATAGGAATCTGCTCTTGTAGATAAAAAAAAGAGTATGTGGCTTTATTTTTTATGGAAAAATTGTTTTGAAAAACAAGTATATCTACACAGAGCCACCTTACTTTATAATAAAAGTATATTAGTTGTTTTAATTTTAGTTGAGTGGTGATAAAGTGAAAAAAAATGACAAGTTTTCT